TGAGCAAAGCCCCTTAGTTACCCCTTAAGGTTCAGTAGGAGGCTCGAAGGCCATTAATCTCACTGTACCTGGGACATAGGAGGCGCTTCTATAGACGGTGGCTTGAGTGTCTTGATGTGAATGTCAACGGGGACTCTGCTGTGTGTCCTTCTGGGCTTCTTCTCCAACTTTTCAGGCTCCCGTTACAATGGCAAGGGACGGAAGGGCGGTCAAAGCCCAGCATCGTGTTCGGTCCTTCCGGTGAGCGCCCTCCTCATTTCAAAGCACCCTTCACATCACATACACCCAGCAGCTCTTACCCAGTGGCAAGATGTGCTCCAGGGTTCTGAGTCTTTTCAGGTTTTGAAAAAGTAACACAAAATAAATATACTTTTTCCTACGCCAAACCTCTGGAGCAGGGGAGCCCCCTATGGACAATTTTGCCTTGCCGTGTAGGGATAGTAGCACTCGGTAGACCCTTGTGGAACTTAGGTAGGGCAAGGCTGGTCCAACTGCCCAGTGAGCCAATGAATGCTTCAACAACCTGACCACCACCAAGCATGTGTGCATGCGTGTGTGCATGTGTGTGTGTGTGTGTGTGTGTTTTACAGGTCTCATGTAGCTCAAACTAGCCTTAAATCTTGGATCCTCCTATCTTTATTTCCCAAATTTTGGGATTATATGTCTGTTCCACTAAACCTAGCAGAATCAGGGCCGTCAGAATTTGTAGAGTTCTCAGTTTTGGGACCCTATAGATCAGGGGTCTGGAGAGATGAAGTTATGAGCCTAAGGTTGTTTTGCTTATGGGAGATGCCTGGGTTATCAAATGGCTATGTCAGAGCCTATGATTCAACCACATAATTCTGGCCTACATGCCTGTCACTTCATGTAGAAGACATGGTCCTTGACGGTGGTCCTCCATGGCAAAGAACAGTAGGAACGCTGGAAGGATCTTCTGAAACAGCAATGCTGCCATCTACTGGAAACCTTGAGAATGACATCTATCCACCAAGAAACAAGAATTCACAGACCTGGTAGGGTAGCTGAATTCTCTTTCTTTTCGGTGCAACTGGTACTTCAGGGCCCAGGGTGGAGCTACCAACTTACTCCTATGTCATCTGTGCTGTGAGATGTTAATAACAGTCCTATCAAGTAAAACATCAACACTAATAATGGAACTTCCGGCCATATGCTCTATAAAGTGCCAGTTTCACCATTTCCCAGTTAGGGGGAGAGGGAGGGAGAAGACACGGATAACAAAATTAGAGGTCAGAGGATGTCATTACAACTGACACCGATGAAGTATAAAGTACAGAACATAGGAGAATTTCTAAATGTGTGTCATTCACCAAAATGAAACCCAGATTCATTATGATGCAATGAATCTTTTTAAAAAGATTGTTTATTTACAATGTATATGAGTGCTCTACCTGCTTGTACACCTCTACACCAGAAGAGGGCATCCGTTCCCGCTGTAGACGGCTGTTTGCTGAGTGTTGAACCCAGGTCCTCTGGAAGATGAGCCAGTGCTCTTAACCACTGAGCCATCTCTCTAGCCCACGATGCAGTGAGTCTTTTTTTTGTTTGTTTGTTTGTTTTTGTTTTTACGAGACAGGGTTTCTCTGTATTGTTTTGGAGGCTATCGGTCCAGCCTGGCCTCGAACTCACAGAGATCCGCCTGCCTCTGCCTCCCGAGTGCTGGGATTAAAGGCCTGCACCACCACCGCCCGGCGCAGTGAGTCTTAAGTAGATTCATTATGAGCAGGGAGTTTGGCTCTGCAACCGAAAGTCTCCTTCAAAGAAAAGCCCAAGTCCGTCAGGTTCACTGTTCAAGCCAGCCATGCCTCCGTAGAAGACCTGAGACCAGTTCCTCCTATCAAAGTCACTCTACAGAACCAGTTTATCATGATACCCAAACTGTGTAAAGACACAGGAAAAAATGAGAAAAGAGTAAAGAAAATTATTGACCCATTTGTTTAATCAATACAGTTGCAAACTTTCTCAAGAAAATACTTGCAGACTGAAGTCAGGAACACATTAAGATCACACACCGTGAGCCTGTGGGCTTCATCCCTGAAGTCCAAGGTTGGTTTAACAGGCAGAAATCAGTAAACATGTGGAAATCAGTAAACTCACCATATAAATAAACTTACAGACAGACAGAAACCACAGTCATGTCAGCTGATGCTGTAAAAGGCACTTGACAAAGTTCAACATGCCTTCGTGATAAACATTCTGGAGACTTTAGGAATAGATACAACACCCCTCAAAACAATGAAGCATTGTTTTGATACACGACAAATCTATAGCCAACGTTGTATTAGACAGAGGCAGACAACGTTGTCTCTAAAAATCAAGAATGACCCACGGATGCCCACTACCCCCTCTCTTGCTTCATGCAGTGCTTGGAGTCTTAGCAATTATCAGTTAGACAAGAGAAAGGCAAAGATTCATAACAATAAGAAGGGATGAAAACTATCCCTATTTGCAGATGATACAATTCTTTACTTAAAAGACACTATAGTGTCTACTAGAAAACTCCTAAGCCTAATAAAACACTTACAGTAAAGTTGTGGAATATAAGATCAATACATTGAAAAGGTAGTCTTTACTACTTCCTGATGTGCTAGCTTTATGTCTATTTGACACAGCTAGAGTCACCTGAGAGGAGGGACCCCAATTGAGAAGATGCCTCCCTAAAAACAGGCTGTAAGAAAGTGCATAGGGCAGGAGGGCCCAGCCGATTGTGGGTGGGACCACACCTGGGCGGATGGTCCTGGGTTCTAAAAGAAAGCAGGCTGAGCAAGCCCTGAGGAAGGAACAAGCCGGTAAGCAGCTCCCTTCACGGGCTCTGCATCAGCCCCTCCCTCCAGGCTCCTGTCTGCACTGCTTTTGATGATGAACTGTTGTGTGGAACGGTGAGTGAAACAAACCCTTTCCTGCCCAGGGTACTTTGGGCTACAGCAATAGTAACCCTATCTAAGATGACAAAAGTCTACAACATGCCTTGATTTTTAAAATTACTTTGTACCACGCTTTAAAAACTGTTTAAATTACATTATTTGTGTGTGTGTGTGTGTGTGTGTGTGTGTGTGTGTGTGTGCGCGCGTCAGAGGATAATCTGTGGGTGTTAGTCCCCCCCACCTTGAGGGTCCTGGACACCATGTAGGTTCTGGGGATTCAACTTGGATTTGGCAGCAGCACCTTTGTCCTCTGAGCCATCTAACTGGCCCCAGAATATGATTTCTAAGTGGAGAGGATGGTTCAGAGTTTAAGAGCGCTTGAGGCTCCCTTCCAGACATTAAGTTTGGTTTGCAACACCCAGCTCCAGGGGATCTGATGCCCTCTTCTGGCCTCCACAGGCATTCGCACATGTGGCGTATATTCATACAAGCCCACGTACATTAGTAAATAAAATGAAGTCTTTCAAAGCACATTGTTTTCCTTGAAATGGTTTGACATTGAATGACCCCTGCATCCCACGGAGGCCCCTGTTCTCTTCTGGCTTGTCCTGGTCCCCTAACCTTTGGTGCTTTATTTCACCTGCGTATGCTAATGAAGCTCTGAGTTGCCTGTGTCATGGCTCACAGCTGACTCCTCTGCAGGACTTAGCTCCTAACCCTTGAAAGAATTCTGGAATAAAGTAAGAGCTGGCTCGTGTCTACACAATAAAAATTAGAGTGGATTTAGTTGACTTGCTTCAGGCAGCAAAACTTTACCCCTTCCTTAAATATTAATCCAGTGATTACCAGGCTTCTAAGTCTGTGTGATTTTACTTTAAAAGTCCTTTAAAATATGTTACTTATTTGTTTATTTACTTTTTTGTGTTTGGAGATAGGTCCTTGTGTAGGCTAGGTGGGTCTGGAACTTACTCTATAGCCCAGGCTGGCCTTGAACTTTGATCTTCCTGCCTCAGCCTCCTGAGTGATGGGATGGCAGTATGCACCACACCTGGCTTGTGTGCATCTCTTAGTGGAGAGGAGAATGAAGGGATCTTGGGAATCTGATTTCCTCAGAGAACAAAGCTCTTCCGGGAAAATGAAGACAGCCCACACAAGAGTCATTCTAAGAGCTGTTTCTTCTGCAAATCTCCCATGAATCTTTTGTTTTCTCAGACAATGCCTTGAATTTCTCAAACTAAACCCCAGAATGAATCAAGAAAACAAGAAGCTATGCATGAAGACAACACCTTGGAAGTCGGGGTGAGTCACAGGATAAACAGATAGGGCTCTGTTTCCAGGTATGGAGGGATGTGTGTTGGCTCATTTGTTTCTTTGTTTGAGACAGGATCTTGCTATATAGCCCAGGCTAGCCTCAAACTCTCCATCTTCCTGCCCCAGCCTCCAAAGTCCTGGGTTGCAGGTAAAACCACCACGACTACCCAAATTTTGATTTCGCAACAGTTTTCTTTCTGTGTAGTTCACACAACATAAATCCGCCCATTATGATTATACAGTTCAATGGTTATTAGTATATTTAAAAAGTTGTACCATTAAAAAAATGAAGTCTTCAGGAGTGCCTTTAATCCCAGCACTGGGGAGGTAGAGGCAGGCTGAATCGCTGAGTTGGAGGCCAGACTGGTCTACAGAGTGAGTTTCAGAACAATCAGGGTGAGCTCTCTCTCTCTCCTCTCTCTCTCTCTCTCTCTCTCTCTCTCTCTCTCTCTCTCTCTCTCTCTCTCTCTCTCTCTCTCTCTCTCTCTCTCTCTCTCTCTCTCTCTCCTCCCTCCCCCTCTCTCTCTCTGTGTGTGTGTGTGTGTGTGTGTGTGTGTGTGTGTGTGTGTGTGTGTGCTGAAGTTGGGAGTTGGGACTTCGGGAATTGATACGGAATTTCTTTCAAAGAGATAAAAATGTTTCACAATTGATTGTGACCATGATGGCTGTGACAATTGGTTCCTCTCAGGTGTGCATACCTGGGGGGGGCAGTTGGTTTAATGATACAAGTGAGTTTATTTCTGTGCCTACTAGATTACAGATGTCCCTTGGGCATTCCTTCATCTCCTGGCCCAATGCTATGCACACTGATATTCATAAATATTTATTAAATGAAATGAATGGATGGATGATATTTGCAATTCTAACATAGAACATGAGAGAGAGAGATTGTTGGACTAAACAGGTACCATGAATAACATGAATTTTGAAAAAGAAAAGCCCCAGCCAGTCACAACAGGACTGTTGCACACGTGAACTCACAGAGACCGTGGCAGCAGGCACGGGCCCTGCACAGGCTCAAGCCAGATGGAGTCCCAGCACTGAGAAGCAGAAGTGGACATAGGTTCCCACCCCTCACCAAGAAACTATCTGCAATTGAGACCTGCTGACAAAGGGGCAGTTCTCCAGTGGAATCTCACTGGGTGTATCAGCCACACTTCCGGGTAAACCACACACAAAAAGATCCCAGTGGGATTGCTGTAGACTTTTTGTCTCATTTTGCTTTGTGTGTGTGTGTGTGTGTGTGTGTGTGTGTGTGTGCAGTACCCCCCGAGGCCAGAAGAGAGCATTAGATCCTGAAGAACTGGAGTTACAAACAGTTGGGTGCTGGGTGCCAAAACCAGAGTCCTCTCCAAGAGCAATAAGTGCTCTTAATTACTAAGCCATCTCTCCAGCCCCTAACTAAATATGTTGAATATAGGATTGAATTCATTACCACGTATTACATTTTTATGGCTTTATGTATCAGCTAAAACACATATAATAAAAATTTCTCCTAAAGAAAATCCCTAATACGCTAAAATTGTCAGAAATGCCTTTTCTTACAGCCTTGCATCGTTAGTCTACTACCTGTTTTCTGCTAAAACCCAGTACAGAAACGATAATCCGTTTCATGACTGCAAGTCTGCGCTGTAAGAACTGCCGGGTTTCCTTGCAGGGTCAAGTGCCGTAAATGGTAAAGGCTAAAGGTGCTTACCAGCCACCGGTCTTCTAGTGGGCACCTCAGTCTGGGGCACTCCTGGTCCCATCCCTGGGGGCCACAGGACGTAGTGAGTTGGGAAAGGTAACCAGTTCTGTCCCTGAAGGCCCTCCTTAGGCCCCCAGATCTCCTAATGCATTGCACACAGGCTCCAGGGTGGTCGCACCCGTAGGAGAAAGCTCAGCTGGGCACCCATAGTTAAAGGGCTGACTTCTACCAGCTGTTGTCTTTCCAACGGAGAGAAGGGGGGGTGGGACCAGTAAGAGGGATGTGGGCGTGCATTTTCTTGGAATCCAAAGGGTCAGAGAAGGGGGAAAAAAAACTATCAAAAAATGTTCCCAGTACAAAGTTCAGAGTAGGAAAAAAAAAGGTCTGATTTTTTTTTTAAACTAAATTGTGTAACATGAGAAAAATCTCTCACAAGGAAGGAGTGTTCTGGAGCCAAGTTTACCCAGAGGAAAAAGGTTTCAGTACACAACGGAGTAGAGAGGCACAGGGGAAAGGAGGGGGAAGGGAGGGGGAGGGGAAGGGGTGGAGGGGAGATGAGGGGGGGAAGAGGGAGAAGGGGAGGGAGAGGGAAACGCAGAATTTGCCACTAGCTTCCAGGAAGACCCGCAATGACTCCTTGAGCTTCGGAGGCGTCCCAGAGGACATTTCCTGTTCGGCGTCTGGAAGTTCCAGCCAAAAGTTACAAAACATCCTCTTCCCTGTGCCCAAGTGCTGGGGCAGGACGGAGACCCAGGCAGCCGCCAGTCCTCGCAGCAGGTGGGACGGAGCGGGAGCTGCGGACAGGTAGGATGGCGGACCTTTCCTTTCTGGGTCCTTCTGCTTCCCTCCGGGATGTTTCCTGGCTGGAAGGCAACCTGGGGAAAGGTGACAACGCTTCAAAATGCTGTTTGAGTGGAAAGTGTGAGTGGCCAAAGCCTAGGAAACAAGTTGTGTAAACTGAGGTTTTCTCCTCTGATGCACGCCCCACGCGCCCCTCCTCCCCCCACACCTGACTTGGCAAAGAGCTTCCTAAACGGAGCCACCTGGGAGTAGATTCAGAGAATGGCAGACTAGAAAGGGCCCTAACAGCCCGGGCCTGGCTGTTCCCCCCAGGGCCTGGACCTTGTGTGTTTCTCGCTCATTTTCCTCCGTTTCGTGGTCCTGGGTCAGCGCGCCCTGAGGCGGTCTTTCCAGGTATGGGGTGCAGCACCAGGACTGTGTTTGTGGACCGGAGCTGTGTGCGGTGTCAGTGGTAGCCTTTGCCTTGACAGTGGCATTCGGCAGCCTGTATATACCTGGTCTTGGCCATAGCTGCTGACGCTGAGCTGGCCCAGAGAATTCAGGGTGCCTACCCCCAAAGCTGAGGGAGGTAGAGAGTAGGTGTGATGGAGTCCTTCCAGAGCCTTCTCTGGGGTCCTGTGGCTTTCCCCTCTTTATCACACAATTGCCTTGCCTTGACAGGCCAACTAAGTGAGGAAGGGAACGGAACTAAATAGTCAGAACTTACCAGGCGGTTACCAAGAAGTACTCTTGTTGGGCATTTCCCATATTCCGGGAGACAGACTACAGGTGCAGACACTGTCATCACCACATGTCAGTCAGGCTCGTTGCTCAGTAAATGACAGAGGAGGGATACCAGCCACTGGGGTCTCAGGGCCATCACACAGAGTTCAGAAAGCAGGGGTTCGAATCTGGGTTCCCATGGGTTTTGCTATAAAGCAGGTGAACAGTGCAAATGTACTCTTCTCTGGGTGTTGCAGTGATGGTGGGGTCCAGCCATCACTCCCAGTGCAGAAGCCTGAGTTCCGTAGGAAGTGACCCGGGTGCACGGACCCTAGTTCACTTGCCTGGCAAGTTCACCTGCCAGCAGAGTAGGAGCAATTTACCCCAGGCTCCAGGACAGGCGTCACATCTCATGTGCGTTGTGTACCTTAGAAAATATCCTCTTTGGGGCTGGAGAGAAGGCTCAGCAGTTAAGAGCCCTGGCTGCTCTTCCAGAGGTCCTGAGTTCTATTTCTAGCAGCCATATGGTGCCTCACAATCACCTGTAATGAGATCTGGTGCCCTCTTCTGGCATGAGCCATATATGCGGCAGAACACTGTATACACAATAAAATCTGTAAAAGAGAAAACGTCCTCTATTGTGATACAAGGACTCTGTAATGATGGGGTCCCTTTTGGAGGCTGAGGCATCTGGTGCCTCAGTAACCTTCTCTCTTAAGTTGCAGCCCAGAAGCTGTGTCCTTATCTGGCTTGAAAGTAAGGTTCTCAGTTGAAGTGAAGTTTTAACCATTTACAGAACTGTTGACCTGGCCACATGGCGCTCAGTCTGGACTGCCAATGACTGCGCTGTTTGCAGAGTTGGAATCCCACAGTCAGTTCAAGTGGTCCTCAAGGAGCCCAGAGAGGCGTATGCTGCTTCTGCTGGTGAGGCATCCTCAGGAAGGGGTAGACCTTGTATAACGGGCCCAAGCGCACTCAGCCTGTTTGTGGAATTGGAGCCCCATCCTGCTGAGTCTCAGCCTCGAGGCCTTGAATGCTTTTTTCAGGCCAGTGACAGAGATAAGAACCAGACTGCAGTAGTGGGGGCTCTTTGTGTTTTTGTAAAGGGCGATTCTGAGAAAAGGCCGGGCTGAACGGGTCACAGGGCCAAGACAGAATGTTCTGTGACAGGAAGTGTGCTCTGTGCATGCCTGGAGTTAGGGGTGTTTAGTTTTGTTTTTAATTGTGACCCTGTTCGGTAGTCTTTGTAGTTCTAGGAGTGCTGGGGCCAGCGCTGTGCCATTCTGAATGCTGCATCCTGGTAAATATCTATCTACAAAATGGTACGGAAGGCCGGGCGGTGGGGGCACAGCACCCGGGAGGCAGAGGCAGGAGGATCCCTGTGAGTTCCTGGCCAGCCTGGTCTACAGAGCCAGTTCCAGGACAGGCTCCACAACAATACAGAGAAACCCTGTCTCAAAAAACAAACAAAATGGCACAGGGGCCCCTCCCCCTCGTGTGTGTGTGTGTGTGTGTGTGTGTGTGCACGCATGTGTATAGGATGAACATAGGGCCTCATGCATGTTCAGCGTGTACTTAACCACTGAGCTCCGAGCCCAGCCCTAGTTACTATTGATTGATGATGGAGAGTTGTACTTAACCACTGAGCTCCGAGCCCAGCCCTAGTTACTATTGATGATGGAGAGTTGAGCCTTGCAGTTGGCCTGCTGCTTCGTATTTCTGCCACACAGCACAGAACAATGCTGCTGTTTCGTCTTGTGCATGTTTGCTTGTTTGCCCCCCCCCAGTGAGTAAATGCCATTAGCAAAACCACTTGTATTAGAAGAATGACTTTAGGATTTCAAGCTGAGATATAAACTTTCAAGAGCTATATATGTAGCTTATTTTAAAGAAATAAGGCAGCTCATGATTTACCAAAGATTTTTGTTGTTGTTCTTTTTCAAAACCCAAATTGATCAGCACCTCCTAGTTCTGAATTAAGTTTAGAATGATCCCGAAACTAGCATGCCTTGACTTACTAACTTCCCGAGACGTGTAAGTCAGTGACGAAGAAATTACAGTTGGCATTTGCTGCGTAGGTTGTGTGAGCCAGGCCGTGTGAGCTGCTTCTGTGCACCGTCCCAGTGTAATGGCCTGCATTCCCTCAGTGTGCAAATGAGGACCGCAAGGTTCTGAAAAAGATATGAGGTACAAAAAGACACACAGCATGTGGGTGACGGAGCCAGGGTTCAAACTCTGCTCTAATGTGCGGGTGCTTCCGTTAGATGCCAGAGTTTTGCTAAGGTCCATCTGATGGAATCCATTTCGGTCCATCTGAGGCATATTGAAAAAGAAAGCTGAGGGAGGACACACTACTTTTCAAAGAGTCAGGGACTAGAGAGTGCCAAGAGCACCTCACAGGAGACTCATGGGGTCATTGCATCTGAACAAGAAATTTACCAGAAGCAACTGGTTTGTGCGTAACTGTGAGATGCATGGCTTCTGCTACCTCCACCAATCCTCCTCCTCCTCCTCCTCCTCCTCCTCTTCCTCCTCTTCTTCTCTTCCTCCTCCTCCTCTTCCTCTTATTCTTCTTCTTCCTCTTCCTCTTCTTCTTCTTCTTCTCCTTCTCCTCTTCCTCCTCCTCCTCCTCCTCCTCCTCCTCCTCCTCCCTCCTTCTCCTCCTTTGTTTTGGTTTTTCCAGACAGGGCTTCTCTGTGTAACCCTGGCTGTCCCCAGGAACTAGTTCTGTAAACCAGGCTGACCTCAAACTCACAGAATTCCACCTGCCTCTGCCTCCTGAGTGCTGAGATTAAAGGCGTGCCCCTTAATTGTATCAGTGAATTCCCAAGGGTTCTGTATGTCCGTGGTCTCCCCTTCCCCCACCCCCAAGGATCCTGGTTACAATATGTGGTGGTTTGAATGTCCCGTATAGGTGCAGGCATGCGAATGTGTGATCTGCAGTGGTGGTGCAGTTTGGAGAGGTGATGAAGAGGTGCAACCTTGCTGGAGAAAGTTTGTCACTAAGAGCAGGCTTTTAGGGTTAAAGCCTTGCCCTGCTTCTGGCTGGCTCTCTGCTTTATGCTTGCTGCTGAAGATGTTATCTCCTAGCTCCTACTCCTGTCACCATGCCTGATGCTTACTGTCATGCCTCCCACCATGATGGGCTTTTGTCCTTCTGGAACCATAGCCCAAAACAAACTCTTTCTTCTATAAGCTGCCTCAGTGATGGTATTTTATCATAGCAACAGAACAGCAACTAATGCTGTTAGTATTCAGGCATCTGCACTGGCCTGTCCTTGGGGTTCTGACAGGACACGCCCTCAGCTGCAGCCACTAAGAGCAGCACCTGTGCACATTCACTATGTTCCCTTTTAAAAGGGCCCCGCCCACCTCCCATCCTTCTCTCTGTCTTTCCCTCCCCCTGTTTGTTCCCCCTTCTCTCTTTCTCCCTCTCTCCCTGTTTCCTCTCTCTCCCCCTCTTTCCTTTTTCTTCTCTTCTGCTGCTCCTGCCTCCAGAGGCCGGTCTCCCCCCTTTTTATGATCCCTTTCCCTAGTTAAAAAAAAATTTGCTTGAATCCTGTCTCATGGGCATCTTTCTCTCGGTGCACTGCTTTTCTTAAATTACAACAAATACACTATGTCATAAAACAAAGAAGGTTCCAGCTAAGCTCTGCCTTATATCTTACATCCTCAGAATCCCAAATCCCAAATTAGCCCTCTTCCAGAACCCTTCAATTTCTTTCCTTCCCTCCCTCCCAACTTCCCTCCCTCCCATGCCAGGGTGTTTTTTTTATTTTGCTAGAAACATGATGACAACAGAACCTGGAAATCAGCAATATGGAAAGAGTTGTCCTTTGTTTTTAATTAGTTTACTTTGTTGTTGTCGCCATTTAAATTCTTTTATCTGATTGTTCTTATGTATTGAGTGATCGGCCTGCACATATCTCTGTGTGCCACAATCAAGAATCCAAGTCCCCTGGACTGGAGTTACAGATGGCTGTGAGCCGCCATGTGGCTGCTGGGACCTGAACTCAGACCCTCTTCAAGAGCAGCAAGTGCTCTTTAGCACCCAGCCACCTCTCCAGCCTGGGAAGGGTTTTAAGGATGTGGGAATATAGGTCTCTTTGGCTTCATTTCCTCCCTCAAATCACATACAATATGGTAGTGCACACTTGGGACTCATCAGTAATTGGGTGAGGTCCTAGTTTAATGACTGAGAGTGGGTGATTAAAAGGGAGGAACTCTTGTTTGTTCCAATCGACCCGAGACACACGAGATGGGAACTGAGGGCAAACACTGCCTTTATGCTTCTTCATCCTCAGCCCTGAAAAAACCAAGGAAGAGACTTTCTTCCTTAGCCTTGTCCTCTAGCCTTGGAAGGCCCAGAGAAACAAGCAGATGGAAACAGTTGAAAACCAGTGCAGGAGAGTGTGTCTGTCGCAAGGCAGGGAGGGAAGACACGGTATGTTTGTTGTCAGCATAGGGCCCAAGGAATTTTCCATAGTTTGACTTTAATCATTACCGTCTCCATAATTGCTGGCAGCTGACCCTTTGCTGAGCTGCTGGGCTTGCCAGCCACCTGCCCACCAGCCTGAGGACCGCACCAGCTGCTGCCAGCTGCTGAGGTCTTCTCAGCCTTCTCTAGGAACAAGTAAGCATGCTGGTTGCCTGGCCACCCGGCTGCCGGATGAATGATCATCTCATTCTGTTTCCCGGCCTCTTAGGATGAGCTTTCCAGAGCCTGCATAACTTGCATAAGCACAGCCCATTCCGCCCCTGGAATGGCTCAAGAACTAGCCACCATTGCCTGTGCTAGCACGGATGCTACACTTGTAAGAGAAGAAAGGCCTGGTATATTTAGCAAGCAAGCAGCTGTCAGCTCTCAAGGCTCACCCCAGCCTGGTCTGGAAAGGCCCTTAGTGGCTTCCGGAACCCCATGCACCAGGACAGAAAGGCATCTGAGGGCTGTTTTAAATTCTTCTCTTCGTGGGGTTCACTCCTACAACTTCTGATGAGAGCTGGGAAGTGAGCGGGAGGCCTGGAGAGGAAATAACCTGCTTCAGACCACAGCAAGGTCCAGAACCCCTCTGCGTCTACAAGCCAAGCTGATACATGTGAATGATCTTGTGAAGGACTTGACGCTACATGTCTCCGTGTGTCTTCATCTTCCCCCTTCCCCTGTCCAGGGTCCCCCACTGTGCTTACTCTGGATTCGGGGTATTGGTCTCCACGGCTGCCTGACATCTTCTGAGCACCCAGACTTAGCTGATGAAAGTAGCTGTCGGAAGTCAGAGAGGGGGAAGGGTGGCAGAAGGGACATATTCCTCTGACTCTTTTGCGGAGATGCCATGGGATGGTCATGTTCCCTGACTGACAGTTGCCTCAGGCTGTCTTAGTTATGGTTACAATCGCTGTGAAGAGCCACCATTGGCCATGGAAACTCTTATAAAGGAAAGCATTTAACTGGGGCTTGCTTGCGGTTTCAGAGGTCTGGCCCATTACCATCATGGCAGGCACATGGCAGCACTCAAGCAGATTTGGTGCTGGAGAAGTAGCTGAGAGTTCTATACCCAGATCTGCAGGCATCAGGAAAAGAGTCACTGGGCCTGGCTTGGGCTTTTGAAACCTCAAAACCCATCCCTAGTGACACACTTCCCCCAAGAAGGCCACACCTCCTGAATCCTTCTCAAGTAGTATCTGAGCCAATGGGGGCCATTCCTATTCAAAACACAATAACCTCTGTAGTGGTTTCAAAGAAAATGGCTCCCAAGGAGAGTGGCACTATTAGGAGGTGTGGCCTTGTTGGAGGAAGTGTGTCACTTTGGAGGTGGCCTTTGTGGTCTCATATATGTTCAAGAGTCCATGTGCAGGTCAGTCCCCTGCAGTCTGGAAGCGTGTGGACACCAGCAGGCTTGGTGTGGTGGTTGCCTCATTAGAAGCTTCCACAGGGTTAGTTACCTCACCTCGCCTGTCCCAAGTGTCTCAGCCCACCCGAGGCTTTTAGGTCCTTAACCTTCCAACAGTACCACTTTTATTGTCATCGTGACCAAACAACATAAGGCCCAGAGTTTTAGGAGAAGCGGTTCAAATCTCG